AGGGGGGAAGGAAATTACAATCATTGAAGAGACTACTTTATCAAAGTCAACCGATTGGCACTTGGAGAGTTAAACATACAAGAGAAAAAGACTATACCTTCTTCTCTCCTGTACATGGATCATATTTAAGATTAGATTATATAATGATGAAGTATAGACAATTAGAGTCGTTGGTTGGTGCCAACATAGAGGTTATGTCCATCTCAGATCACGCCCCCGTCACAATGAGACTACAGGTGGGTTGGGATCAAGATAAAATAATGTGGGGATTAAAACAAGATGCTTATACAAGACCCTGAATTGGAAAAAAGACTGAGAGGGGGAAATAGCATTTGATCACCCCGTCACCCAACCAGTGCCATTAGTACAGTGTCAGTATATAGAATTTTTCACTGATCACTGTATTCCTGCCACTAGCAACATCAGGGAACATCAGGGTCAGTAGCACCCCTCCCAACCAGGGTCAGCTAGCGTTAGATTGCCCGCACACTATCATACTCATGCTATAGGTCGCAGATAACCCCCATTACTAGTATAGTGTTCACGGATCAAGATATTGATCACGAACATAACTATACTAGTGCCTCCTTTGTATAGCGTCCCCAAAAAACGCAGTGTTAGCAGGATTGGCCCCGTTCACAGCCAGCACTAGCGTTTAGCCCCTCCGCTGTTTTTCATGGAAGATTTGTACCAATTGATTGCGGGCCAAAGCAATTTAAATGCACAATACATCGCCGCCCACCCAAATTCAGCTCTTGCCAGACAATTTGCATGGAAACTTATCACGGTTTCTGAATTTAAAACTTTTTTATGCCTAACCCTCAACATGGACATTATAAAAAAGAATGAATTGCGGTCATATTGGTCCACAGAGCAAATTCATTGTATGCCTATGTTCTCTGCTGTTACCTATATAATATACACACACACACACACACACACACACACACACACACAATGTGCTACTGCGTTGCTGGACTCTGAGTGGTTATACCAGGGTGATGCCTGCAGCTACAGGCATCATTCTGGTACAGTTTTTTTTTCAGCTGGCAGTCGGCTTTCATGTAAAAGCAATCCTAGTGGCCAATTAGCTGCTGAATTGTTTTTACAAGCCGTGGGGACAGTGTAAAAATTATTTTAAAAAAATCTAACTTTTTGTGCATTAAAAATTCTACAAAGTGTTTTTTTATCCCCAAAAGATTTGCGTTTGAAAAAAATGGCTGCGCAAATATTGCGTGATGTAAAAAATTTCAATACCCACCGTTTTATTCTCTAGGGCCTCTGCTTTAAAAAAGATATATATATGTTTGGGGGTTCAAAGTAATTTTCTAGCAAAAAAAAGTTTTTTCAAGTGGACAAAAAGTGTCAGAAAAGGCTTGGTCTTCAAGAGTAGGTGTTATGTGGCATAAGCTTATAATATTGGCCCTGAAATGCCAGGATAGTAGAAGCAATCCCTCCAAATGACTCCTTTTTGGAAAATAGACATTCCAAGGTATTTGCTAAGAGGCGTGGTGAGTGTTTTGCAGATCTCATTAGTTGCCACATGTTTTTGGAAAACAAAGAAGGAAAAACTAAAAATGTTTTATTTTATTTTTTTTGTTTTCAAAAGCCTGTGACAAAAATCATATCTGTAAAAACACTCACCATGCCTCTTAACAAATTCCTTGGGGTGTCTTCTTTCCAAAAAGGGGTGATTTGTGGGGGGGGGGGGGGGGGGGGGAGTGTTTGTACTATCCTGGCATTTTAGGGCCTCCAAAACTGTGATAGGTAGTGGGGAAGCTCTTGTATATGGAGGAAGCTACGGAGAGGAAATTTTCCCTGGGAATTGGAGGATAATATTGTATCCATAAAGTGCAATCTATTCTTATCTCTGTATACATTAGTATACATCAGTATTCACAGGAAGGTGCGGATCCGTGGAGTCTTTTCTCTGTATTACACTTATCCAATATTTTGTTTGGAGCACTATTTGCATATTTAAAGGGGACTTTGTTTTTGGTTTCATCACTTTTTGTATTTGGACACAAATTTTTAAAATTTTTCTTCATTTTGGTGGTTTTGGACATTTATTTTAAAACCACAGAATTTATTATGATTTGTTTATAATTATTTTTGATTCATTTCATGTTTTGCACTGTTTTATTGTTTCACTGATATGGGGAAATATGCCCTTTGAAAGTCTGGAGGTGGTCATTGGATTTTGGGGGCCTGTATGTAGCTAGACTGCCAAAAAGTCTCTCACATGTGGTACCCTCATACCCAGAAGTAGGAAAATGTGTTTTGGGGTGTTTTCACATATACGCATGGCATGCATGAGTAATATATAAGTGAAGTGACAACTGTGCAAAAATAAATAAAATTGTCATATTCAAAAAATTTGTGGCAAAAATAAAATGTTCTGTGGACTCAATATGCCTCTCAGCATGCTTGGGTGTCTACTTTGAAAAAAGGTCATGGGGGGGGGGGGGGGGGGGGGGGGGGGGGGGGGGGGGGGTTTGTACTGCTCTGGCATTTTAGCACCTAAAGAAATGTGATAGGCAGTCATGAAGTAAAAGCTACATAATATCCAATATATATACCGTAGTTTGTAGACGCTATAACTTTCACACAAAACCGATCAATATAGAAGTAGTAAGATTTTTTTTTTTTACCAAAAGACATGTAGCAGAATACATTTTATCCTAAATTTATGACTGAGTTTATTGGATATTTTTTACAAACCGAAAGTGAAAAATATTGTTTTTTTTCAAGATTTTCTGTCTTTTTGTTTACAGCGCAAAAAAATAAAAACCGCAGAGGTGATCAAATACCACCAAAAGAAAGCTCTATTTGTGTGAAAAAAAAGGACAAATTTCATTAGGGTACAGAATTGCACAACCGTGCAATTACCAGTTGAAATAGTGCAGTGCCGAATAGCAAAAAAATGACCTGGTCAGGAAGGAGGGTAAATCCTCTAGAGGGCAAGTGGTTAAAGATTGGTCCCCCACTCCCCATTAACCACTTCCCCTGCAGAGGATTTACCTCCCTTACCGACCAGGCCATTTTCTACGATACGACATTGCGTTACTTTAACTGACAATTGCGCAGTCATGCAACGTTGCACCCAAATGAAATGTATGTCCTTTTTCCCCCCACAAATAGTTTTTTTTTTGGTGGTATTTGATCACCTGTGCAGTTTTTATGTTTTGCACTATAAATAAAAAACAAAAGCGTCAATTTTGAGAGAAAAAAAAAAAAAAACAATGTTTTTTTACTTTTTGCTATTAAACATGTCTAGTAAAAAAAATGTTTTAAAAATCAAATTTTGTCATAAATTTAGGCCAAAATGTATTCTGCTATATGTCTTTGCTAAAAAAAAAATCCCAATACGTGTAAATTAATTGGTTTATGTGAAAATTATAGCATCTACAAATAGCGGAATTATATATACTGGAATTTTTTTTTTCTTTCATTTTACTAGTAATGGCGGCGATCAGCGACTTATATCAGGACACAGTGGGCATTCTTATAATGGAGGGGAACTAACTTGGTGACATCCAGTGACACCAATACAGTGATCACTGCTACTAAAAAGCACCGACACTGTACTAATGGCACTGGGCAGAAAGGGGTTAACATCTGGGGCAATCAAAGGGTTAACTGTGTGCTGTTTCACTATGGGGGGCTGTGTGTTTCACTGTAAGCACACTGCTTTGTATGGCTGTGCTATGCAGAGCCATACAAAGCAGTGTGCAGGAGCTGACAGGGGAGAGATCTTTATTGTTTACATACAGGTCTCTCCCCCGTCGGAGATACTCATGGATCACCGCGTGCTGGCGAAAAATCACCGGCTGGGACCTGGCGATTGACAGCCAAGGGCGCGAATGGGAGCGCGGTTTAGGGCTTGCGCACGCCCCCTACCGAGAACTGCAAAATCACATATATATATATATATATTATATATATACACACGTGGTTTTGCGCACCCGTGCCGCCCTAAAGCAGTATTTATGCAATAGGGCAGCGCGGAATGCGGTTAAGGATTGGCACCCTTGGGGGTGGGTACCTGAAATTGACAGATACCCGCTCCCACTTTCTCTGCAATCACCTAGGCAATCGGAAGTGGAAGTTGTCCCCCCCAGTAGTCTCCTGGGACATGTGACAGGTAATAGAAAAACTACAAGATCATTCAGGAAGCACAGTGCTACTCGCACATGTGCAGGGGACACACTGAGCCCACACTGGCGCACACGGGACAGCTGGTGAAACGGGCTGCAGAATCAGGGACAAGCGAGTGACTTTTTTTTTTAAGTCAGCAGCTACAGTTTTTGTAACGGACACAATTATTTACAGTGTGACTGGAACTCCACTTTAACAATTAATGGCAGCCCTAAAAGGTCTTGCATTTTTCACACATTCCCTGAAAGTGCAGGTGTCATGGGACCTTGGGGAGATTTTCCCTCTCTATGAGCCTGGTGACACGTATTACCAAGGGTGAAAATGAATCTCACATTCTGAGTTGTCACCAGAACAGGAAGAGAAATCTTCCAGATATATCTTCCAATGGGGACACTCTTTTTGGAATACCTTCACTTTGGAGGCATTTTCCTCCCACTTCCTGTTGTTGCTAATGGAAAGTAAAGAGAAAGCCCCCACTGGGACACAGATGGCAAAAATGACCTGACAGGGGGTATAACCCTGCCTTAGTCTGTTACTGGCCTTGAGTTCTACGTTAAAGCTGTCCTTGGCAGTGCCTGTCTCTTCCTCTTCCTGTATGACAGGCTCCTGATCTCTATTCTCCAGGAAGGAGTCAGGCAGAAGGAAGAGGTAGGTGTGCTCCGTGTGCCTGCTCATCCCTGTGTCACCCCCTCCTCACACACTGACCAGCACGGAGTCCCTCAGGGGGAGGACATAGTAAGTTGTGCTGTGAGGGGGCGTGTGCCTCACACTGATAGTACCCTCCACACTTCCTCCAGACAGACGGGAACCCGGCGTGACTAGAGCACTCCTTCTCCACATACCTCGGCTTCCCGCGCTTTCCCCAGCTGCCAGCAAGTTCCGCAGTTCGGAGGCAGAGATCCTAACCCTGTCCAACGTCGCCGCCATCTTACCAGCAACCGCCAGGAATCAAAACAAGAAGTGAATTGTGAGACGACGGTGAGTTCGCTGGTCCAAAACACATCCCTACCGCTATACAGATATGGCCACTATGGTGCGCAGCACGCCTGTACGGAGGGACGTGTGGGCGTAGCCATGTTATTGTACGGACGGGGTGAGTGGCACGTTGTGGGTGTGGTCTTGTATGGATGGTATAGTTACACAGGGTGACATTTGGACGTAGACATTTATTGTACGGACAGCGTAGGCGGCACAACGTGACGTGTAGGCATAGCCATGTGCTTGTGCGGGTGATTTGATTCCAAGAAGGGTGACGTGGCCGTATGTGAAACTGTGTAAGTTGCCCATCATGACATGTGGGCATGTCATTGTATGGATGGGAAGATGGGCATGCCTTGTATAGATGGTGAAGATTGCTCGGGTCGTGATGTGTGGGTGTGCTCATGTCGTGATGTGTGGGTGTGCTCATGTCGTGATGTGTGGGTGTGCTCATGTACGGACAGACTTCACACGTGAAGTGGGTGCTTTGTGCGCTTACTGCTTGTTGTCTATCTGGCTTCCAGGAGTGATGTATAAGAATAAAGTATGGATCAGGTAGGTGAGGATATGGAATACAGTGTATTAGTAGTGTGTGTGCCGGGCAGACATGAGCTTTTCACACAAACTTCAAAGTCCTTTCTCAGTTACATTGTAATAGTGGATACCTTTCTGATTAAGCTCTGCCTAGATCGGCCCTCACCTTTATAGAACACTTTTCATAACATTACATAGAAATGGGATTTTGTAAAACTTTTATTCAAACACTTAAACTTGCCTACCAGGCACTTTCACCCCCTCCTTGCCCATGCCGATTTTCAGCGCTGTCGCATTTTGAATGACAATTGCGCGGGTCATGTAACACTGTACCCATATGACATTTTTTTCACACAAATAGAGCTTTCTTTTGGTGGTATTTAATCACCACTGGGTGTTTTATTTTTTGCGCCATAAACAAAGAAAAGAGCAAAAAATTTAAAAAAAAGTTTTTCTTTGTTTCTATTATAACATTTTTGCAAACAAGTAATTTTTTTCCTTCACTGATGTGCGCTGATGAGGTGGCACAGATAGGCAGCACTGCTGGGCGGCACAGGTGGGTGGCACTGATTGTGACATAGATGTACAGATTTGAGTAGATAAAATGTGACCTGTAGCAGTATGTAATCGTAAATGTAGTTTCATTCCTTGTCATTAAAGAAATATTCAGTCATAGGTATTCAAGAGACAGATGGTCACCGATTAGCATCTGAAAAGAGACAGAGCTTCCTCAGGCTGGAAGTGACACCTGGGTGCTAATAAGATTTTGTCACCTATATGTAATCAGACTTTGCCACCTTCCTGAAGTTTAAAAAGGGGAACTCAGATGTTTAGGCTTCATGACACCAGGGGGGCCCCAATCTGTCTGGGGAGCTCTAAAGTATGTACATAGATCAAAGGAGTTTCATCCCTCATAAAAGCTAAAATATTAGTTACAGAGAGATAATACTTCCTTCTGATTGGGCACACTGTAGGCTACATCGGCATGTAAAAACTGTATTTGTGGCCTATGTAGAATGCCAGAAAAATGCAGGAAATGGTTATGTGGCGCTGGATCGCGATAGCTGAACAGTGATTGGTACTGTCGCGATCGGACTGATGCGCTGGTGTCGGAAATTCAACCCCTGACTTGGTGATTCAAACCGTTCCTGGTAAAATTGACTTTGGGCAGTTCAGCACTCAGAACAGCCTGTGGGCAGGTACAGGAAAACCCCCCAGAGTCAATTGGCCAAGAACTAATGTCACGCCTATGTCCATATCCCCATTAATTGAGGACCCTGACATTGGGACATTGTGATTCCAATGGATCTGGTTCTATTTGACTGATGGATTACGGACGTTTTCTGACTTGCTCCAGTCGCAGGATAAATCTTGGTAAAAGTTTTATTTCTGTTTTTTATTCCCTTTTATTTTATAGTGAATAGTCATTTGTGTGTCTTCTTGTAACTTTTTATACTTTGTACATATTTTATGCACTGCCCACTTTCGGGATATTAAATCATAAAATTAATAAGTGACTTCTGGGTACTTAAGCGGGCTCATATCTCCGAGAGATTAGATTGTATTGTATTTTAGTGTCTTTATATGTTCGGTTAAGATCATTGCCAATTGTATGCAATTGCACTGCGTGTTGGCAGATTGCGTGCAGATTGTAAAGGTAACAGATCTGCCAGACAGAGATCTGTGTGTGTGGTGTCCCAACAGACCGTTCTGCGGATAAACTGTTGGGTTGTGGCAAGCTACCGTTTGGTGTGTGGACAGTGGAAGAGTGATTGACACCAGGGTTCTGGCTTGGAGTGTAGCTGGGGGAATCCTAGAAGGGTGTGTGATTGCTAGACTGCTCCTCAATTCTAATTAGGGCACCAGATTGTATGTGAGATTTGTATCTGCCAGTGTGTGGTTAGCCATCTGGATTGGAGTGGAGTCTCCCTCCAGTGGTGGCCAGAGGTAGTGCGGTCTGTGAAAGTGTATCACGGCCAATCTTATATATATGGTTTTATATATTCAAAGTTAAGTCCCCCTTATTCCCTCTTACCCCAAGTCACGGCCGCACGTGCGCGCCTTGGTTAGCTAGTCGCTGTGGGCGTGTGCGTGAACTCGTGACACTGATCATCAGTGCCTATCACTTCTCTGACAATTGCCGTTTATTGGCAATACTTTCCTCATGCTATGACAGCGTGAGGAAAGTGTAACCTGCAACTGTATTTACCCGGTGATCTGCTCTGTCATTGGACACAGCTGATCACGTGGTAAAAGGCCACTGTGATTGGCCATTTACCAGTTCACATAATCAACTGTGTCCATAGGTCCTCCCAGAACTAGACAACCGCGCTGTAGTCGTCTTTCGGATATAGTGCGGTAGGGAAGAGGTTAAAGTGTTACTAAACCCACAACAGTAAAATCAGTCTGTACATACAGTAAAGCATGCTCGTTATACTCACTGTGGAACCTAAGGGGTTCATCCGGTACATTGTGTTAAAAGGATGTTTGATCCTCCCCTTCTTCTACTGTGCCCAATCCATCTGCTGATAGAACAGAGCCTTGGAGGCAAGCTGCACATTTTCAGTTTGGTGTGTATTGCTAGAGTTTTTGCTAGAGTGCATCTGATCAGCACAGGGCCATTCAGCGCTATCCAGACAGGGTCAGGGGTCCTACAGCCTCATAAGACAATCATGGGAGAATGAAAACGCCTCCTACAAGCTTTAACCAGTGCTCTGCTGGATACTGATAAGTCACAAGACTGCTCTAACTGCTGATGAGATGGTATTTAGCAGTTTATATTTACTAAAATAATTGCATTTCCATGTTCTGTTCAATGTGGGAGACCAGATATAGTGAATGCAGGGTCCTGGGTTTAGTAACACTTTAAACAAAATCCGCACTGCTATATTTCTTGCCTTGGCTAAAATCGTTCAGGGCAGTCTACAGAAAATGCACTACTGTGTGTCATCATGGGGTCAGCGGTCTCTTCCTGGTACTTTCAGCTGGTACCCTGATAAGATGATGCAGGAAAATGAAACCTCTACCCTTCCAGAGGAGCTCCCTGCGCAATGCAAGGGTTAGATGCTTGTTTTGGCCTAGAGTACCTGTAAAAAGCACTTTTAGGCTAGGTTCAAATTGATGCATTTTTAGTGCATTTGCAGAAACGCACTACAATCCATTTAACATTATTTCCTATGGGCCCCGTTCACATCTTTGCAGTTTTCTGCTATGTGTTTTTTTGGAAAGGTGCAGGGACTTTTTTACATGCAGAACAAAGCTCCGTAGACATCAATGGAACCGCATCAAAAATGCCTCATGCACATGTGTTTTTGGCAGGATTTTGTGTTTAATAATCAGTCTTCTCCTACTAAAAAAAAAAAAAAATGCAGAAAGCATGAAAAACGCACCACAAAAAACATACAAAAAATGCAGCGAACCACGTATTCATTTATGTGAACATATCCTTTGATTATGATGCATGGTTCAATGCTCATTAGCACGCCTATAGTGTTTTTGACACATTTTTGAAGAAGTGAAAAAGCATCAAGACAGCTTGTCAAATGTCCATAAAAGTGTTAATTTTCTAGTGAGAAATGCTTAAAGGGGAAGTGATGTAGAGGAAATTATCTACTTGAGGCTTGTTTAGGTTGTGGTGTGATAGTGGACATTTTTGTGATTTCTCTGCAAGACAGCCACTTGCTTCCACTGACACTTGCTGGTTCTGACACAAAAAAATCTTTGCCACTGACAATAATGCTCAATGCCTCTGCTCCTGCCTGGCACTGTCAGTATTGCTGTCTTTTATTATTATTATTATTATTTCAGGTACTTATATAGCACCATCAATTTATGCAGTGCTTTACAAATACATTGTACATTCACATCGGTCCCTGCCATCAAGGAGCATACAATCTACAATCCCTAACTTACATTCATACTTACACATATTAAGGCCAATTTAGTCAGGAGCTATTTAAACTAATGCAGGCCATAGACGGGGAGAAAAACGGCAGATTTTTCTTTTAAAAAAACGAAAAATCGGTCGTTCAAGCGGCCGACGTTACCATCAATGGTAAAAGAAATAGGCCGATTTTCATCCCGTCTACAGCCGGCAAAAAGTGTCCCTGCAGAGAGCTCCGCTATTTCTTTGACAGTTCTCTGACAGTTCCTTGACATTTACAGCGGTTGCAACATTGTATCTATTTGTTTCCATTTAGGATACAGATGGTTTTTATTCGGAAACAAATAGATACAATGTTGCAACCGCTGTAAATGTCAAAGAAATAGCGGAGCTCTCTGCAGGGACACTTTTTGCTGGACTGGAATTCCTCTTATTTTTCACCCTACTTCTTCTTCTTCATCCTCTTCTTCTTCTTCTTCTTCATCCTCTTCTTCTTCTTCTTCATCCTCATCTTCTTCATCCTCATCCTTATCTTCTTCATCCTCATCCTTATCTTCTTCATCCTCATCCTTATCTTCTTCATCCTCATCCTCTTCTTCTTCTTCATCCTCATCTTCTTCTTCATCCTCATCCTCACCCTCTTCTTCTTCATCCTCATCCTCATCTTCTTCTTCATCCTCATCCTCCTCTTCTTCATCATCCTCATCCTCCTCTTCTTCTTCATCCTCATCCTCCTCTTCTTCTTCATCCTCATCCTCCTCTTCTTCTTCATCCTCATCCTCCTCCTCTTCTTCATCCTTATCCTCCTCCTCTTCTTCATCCTCCTCCTCTTCTTCATCCTCCTCCTCTTCTTCATCCTCATCCTCTTCTTCTTCTTCTTCTTCTTCTTCCTTCTTTTTTCCTTCTTTTTGTCTTCCTCTTGCAGGTCACTGCTCATGCGCAGATTTTTTATCGGTAAAAAATCGGCCGATTTGCCCATCATTGCCGCGAAAATCAGCCAATCGGCAAAATCGGCCGATTTTTTTTTCCAACTTTACCGGAAAAAAAAATCTGACAAAATACCGAAAAATGGCCGACCAAATAGCCCACTAATGATCCGAAAACCGGCCGATTTTATTTTCGGCCGAAAATAAAATCGGCCGATTTTCGGATCATTAGTGGGCTATTTGGTCGGCCGTTTTTCGGTATTTTGTCAGATTTTTTTTTTCGGTAAAGTTGGAAAAAAAATCGGCCGATTTTGCCGATCGGCTGATTTTCGCGGCAATGATGGGCAAATCGGCCGATTTTTTACCGATAAAAAATCTGCGCATGAGCAGTGACCTGCAAGAGGAAGACAAAAAGAAGGAAAAGAAGAAGAGGATGATGAGAATGAAGAGGATGAGGATGAAGAGGATGAGGATGAAGAGGATGAAGAGGATGAGGATGAAGAGGATGAGGATGAAGAGGATGAGGATGAAGAGGATGAGGATGAAGAGGATGAGGATGAAGAGGATGAGGATGAAGAGGATGAGGATGAAGAAGAAGAGGATGAGGATGAAGAAGAAAAGAAGAAGTAGGGTGAAAAATAAGAGGAATTCCAGTCCAGCAAAAAGTGTCCCTGCAGAGAGCTCCGCTATTCCTTTGACAGTTCTTTGACAGTTCCTTGACATTTACAGCGGTTGCAACATTGTATCTATTTGTTTCCGAATAAAAACATCTGTATCCTAAATGGAAACAAATAGATACAATGTTGCAACCGCTGTAAATGTCAAGGAACTGTCAGAGAACTGTCAAAGAAATAGCGGAGCTCTCTGCAGGGACACTTTTTGCCGGCTGTAGACGGGATGAAAATCGGCCTATTTTTTTTTTTTTTTTTTACCATTGATGGTAACGTCGGCCGCTTGAACGACTGATTTTTCATTTTTTAAAAGAAAAATCTGCCGTTTTTCTCCCCGTCTATGGCCTGCATTACAACATGTCTTTGGAGTGTGGGTGGAAACCGGAGTACTCAGAGAAAACCCACGCAGGCACAGGGAGTACCTGCAAAAACCGTGCAGGTAGTACAGTGGTTAGGATTCGAACCAACAACCTTAGTGCTGCTAGAGGGAAGTCCTAACTATTTAGCCACTGTGCTTCCCATTTTACCTGCACACAGAAGAAAATGGTGTAATCACAAAGCTTCTCTGTACAAATGGGAAGTGGCTGAAGCTGCTCTGTCTTAGTTCTCTATAGTTTCCCACTGGATTCTGGGATACAGGAACCTCCACTGTCTCTCAATGCCCAGCTAACACTTTACAAATGCTTCACTAACACAGCGTAATCGATATTGGCGCAGTTATGGCACACTACCATTGAAATTAAGGAGGGCAGCTGACAAGCATCTATGCCTCCTGAAAATAACGTGTTGCTTAATTTAACACAACTCTACCTCACCTGCATGCACTGCACTGTGTGGTGCCCATTGTATATTCATGGCAGGCATTGAAGTGCAATTATGAGACTATAAAAACACTCCTTAACCACTTCAAGTCCGGACACTTTCACCCCCTTCCTGTCCAGGCCAATTTTCAGCTTTCAGTGCTATCACACTTTGAATGACAATTGCGTGGTCATGCAACACTGTACCCATATGAATTTGTTAGAATTTGTTTTTTTAGATAGATAAAGCTTTATTTTGGTGGTATTTAATCGCCACTGGGAATTTTATTGTGTTTTGCTATATAAATTAAAAAGTCCAAAAATTTTGAAAAGTGTTTTTCTTATGAAATTTTGCAAATAAATAATCTTTCTTCACAAATCTTGGCCAAAATTTATTCAGTTATCTTTTTAGTAAAATAAAATCCAAATTAGGTTAAAAAACATTTTACATTAATATTTTATTTTTTTATAATTTTTTTTTTTTTATTTTTTACAGACTGTACTACTTGTGGGGGGTTATGAAGATTTTATTTTTTTTTTAAACTGATTGCTTTTACACCCATAAAGGCTGTAAAAGCAATCATTTCTCCTTCTCTCTGGCTGCATTCTTGCAGCCATTGAGAAATACTGTGTGAGCTGTGATTGGTCATAGCTTGTCACATGGTACAAGGCTGTTGTGAATAGCCTTGTACCATGTGACCTCTGTGATCATTCACAGATTTCACACGTAGTAAGCAATGATGTCAGAAGTGAGATCTTGCTTACTACTCTTCATGTGATCACTGATTGGCCAAGCAATGATGTCAGAAGTGACATCTTGCTTACTACTCTTCATGTGATCACTGGCCAATCAGTGATCACATGATTGGGACCTCGCACAGAGGTCCCATACAACGATCAGTGTTCCACTGTGTCCTGAGGACACAGGGGGCACCGAATCGCGGTGCTGCACGTTCTGAGAGTGCGCACAAGCAGGGGGCGGGGAGGCCGTTTATAAACAGCCACCCGACCCTGCACTGCCATCGTCCGGCCGTTTATATACCATGGCCGGACAGGAAGTGGTTAAGTACAGGGTATTGCCACACGTGTGAATGAGTCCTTAACCCATCCCTCCTTCCCCAAGCTTCTCCTTGTATGTGACTGGTGCTCCAAAGTCTCTTCAGCACTCCAGCTGGTATTTGCAGCTCCGATATCATCATGTTACAGTGTAGGACCTGTAGTCTTACACTGTAAGGCAGGGGTGCTCGACCCGTGGCCCGCAGGAACCCTCTGATGTGGCCCGTAACCTCAAACCAGGGAAGCGAATGCCCAGGGTTGGCAACCTGTTGATCGTGATCTAGGCTTGCTGACCCACCATCCCAGAGCATCAGAGTACATTGAGCCTGCAGCGGAGGAATTGGGTGGCCTGGAAAGCGATGCCAGAAGAAGCTAGAAGAGGCAAGGAAGGTCAGTATATTAAACATCACATACACTATGCTTTTGCAATTGGCCAATGCGCATCTATAAAAGGGTTAACAACTATTAGCCTGCTTTCACGCTGATCTGCAGTGCAGTGCACCTGCGACTTTCCTGCAGGTTAGCTGAGCTGAGCCATAGACTTCTATTATATCCTGGAGAGTTTGGTGTTCTTTCAGAAAGTGCACCACACTCGCAAGACCTAATAGAAGTCTATAGCAACACATCAGTATGAAAGCAGCCTTATAGGGAAATTGTTTACGTTTGTGGTTTGGGGGGCAGTAAAACCCCCATAGTTAAGACAGGTTTTTACCATCCCACCCAACCACTGCTGTAGCATCAGGGGGTCACAATGTGATCCCGCTCCATACTCTAGGTGTCCCATGCAGCCTCCCTGTAACATTCTTGTAGCAATCGTACACACAGAGATGGACGCGGTCATCCATTTTTGCTCCAACCCTCCATCTTGTATCTTTCTTCCCCCTCCAGTCATCCCCTCTCCCTCTCTGTTGAGTGACATGTGGTCGGTGTGTGTTTTGCAGAGATCACAGGCAACAAACTCAGTGGAAGGGCGTCCTGGCTAAAAAACCTCACTAGCTAGGTGCCCCCCTGTCTAAAACTTGCCTGGAAAGGGATCGTAAAAGCGTAAACCAAGTCCTTCACTGAGTTCAAAGACATTCCAGGGAAGCAATAAACTAGACACCACATTCAACATCCATTTTCCCCTATGATTTCATATCTTGGAGTATGAGAGACTTACATAAAAACCAGGCATATATTCAGATTGGTCACTTTGATACAAGTTTCCTGATATTTTACACCCCCTGGTGTATATAGGAAAGCAGAAAATTATATCTCCTGAACCATTCAAGTGTATATGACGTTTCATCTCTAACCATTCCGCAGATGCAGCTGAGTATTAATCTACTAGTGACCAGTCTGCCAAATGCCCTGAGAATAAGTTATGAATCCTAATAGAAGCTAGGAGAGTTTCTGGTCATAACTTAGGGCTCCACCTACACCTCCCTCTCAAAGGAGACAATTGGTTTCCTGCTCCAGGGAGACACCCTGTGGAGATACTAGAAAAGCTAAGCTGAGTTAAAGAGTAGAAAGAAGATTCTCCTGTTTTAACATCGAAACAGACCGTGGGAGACAAGAAATCCTTTTGGGCTCATAAAACTTGAAGCTGCTTAAACCGGGGCTGACTGGCAAGTACTTTAACCCTTTAAACTCCTTTCTGTTATCTCTTTGCTGTGCTATTGTTCTCTGTATATTTATATATATATATATATATTGGCTACATCTTTTTCTGTAAATATTTCTATTGCACCCTTTTGACCTTTTAGTAATAAATCTTACTTTCTGAAAGTGTTGAACTGTTTCTAAAGCTCTTTAATGCAAATTCCGAATTCCTGCCGCTGAAGAGCTTTACTGTGTGTGTGTTTAACCCTCTGTATAACCTGCCTGCGGTGACAGTGGTATACAGACGATTATCCAACCATCATAGTGTTGTTGCTGATATTGCAGAGTTTCCTTTTTCTCTGTACAAAAAGGAGGTTGTGGCGGTGTGAAGGGTTAATTGCGTAATTAACCTGACCCAGTAACAATCGCTCCCAGGCTGCCGGCACACAGGTTGTGGTCCATTAGCTGGAAAATCTTTGTGCAGGGTGCAGCTGGTCGTGGCATTGGTACGCACGTGACATCGCGGTTTTAGATTGGCCAGTACTTCGGTCACGAGTTTGGTGAGAAGGGCTGGGGTCTGACGCCACGATTGTCACAATTCTGTTTCACAGTTGGACAGGAGGGGTGGTGGGGGTGGCGCATACAGGAACCTATTCTCTCCATTTTCCTCCTGCGACCGCTGAAAGCTGATTTCTCCTCTTCCTCCCGCTGGAATTGATTGACTGCAGGAGGAAAATGTTCATGATGCTATTTAAAATTTTGAAAAATTGAAATTCTGAGACATTTCATTTCATTTTGACCTGCAACCAGTTACCAGGCCACCAGTTAAATTTCCCTTTAAAAGGTTGAGCACCCCTGCCATATGTCCTTGTTTATATGGGCAGTGAGGGAGCTGTGGTTTCACCACTCCGATTGCCAAGCTCCAAGTCTACATGTATGGCGGCCATGTCAGCTGATGGGGTCCGATGCATGAGGTAAGTAGAAGTTCTTTTTATGGGTTGTGACAGACCCAACCGGGGCAGGGGCTTTTGGAGGGGACTTGGGGCTAGCCTTCTACCCACTGATTGGAGAGAGCCGATCATTCTTTAATGATCGACAACAATGTGATGAATGCTGAGAGCAAGGTTTGGATTAATTCCCTGAATAAAGACAATAAAGCTTCCCTTCTGGAGTGGATGGAAAGGTGTAATATTAATATTGTACAGGTTAATGGTCAAAGGAAATATGGTGGCCCTCCTGCAGATTGGGTTGGAGAAACTCCCCCACTTGGAACAGAAATATTTATCAATAATGTCCCTCAATCTATGAAGATAAATTAATTCCACTTTTCTTATGATGAATTTTCTAGTGGACAGATTACACAAGTACCTGAAAGACAACATGTGTATTGTGTTTTGTGTATTCGGGGGTTTGCGTGTTGTCGAACTGTCTGTGGTGGACTCCCTGATTATTCAAAGCATTGTCTGGGTGCTTGGCTGTTAATTAGAT